GACCCGCCCGGGGCCCCGTCCCGAAGCTCCTTTCTCCTCCCAGGCTTCCACCTTGCATCGCTGGGCAGCTTCTAAAGCCTGGCAGGTTGCTCAGGAAACACGTGAGCTATTAAACTTGGATTCCCGAAAACAATGCCCGTTTCTCTTGTTTTCCACAAAAACACCCGCGCACGGCGAGTCAGTGTAGACTTTCATCTACACTGCAAGCGTCTCGCTGCGGCCGCGGCCCCGGGGCACCAGCACCAGCCCAGCTGTCCAGCTGTTCTCCCGGCCTCTGTTTTATACTGGGATCCCCTCGTTTTTACCTCGAGGAACTGGGGAGCCGGGGAGAGCTTGGCCATTTCAGGGCGCCCCCCCCGCCCTCCCCCCGGCAGCCTGGCCCCTTCAGATCTTCCGCTTGCTTTTTGCCAGTTTCCAAGGCAGGGCTGCAGCGCCCAGGGGCTGTGGGTCTGGGCTCCAGGCACAGAAGCTTCTGGAAACACGTTAGGAGCGGATCCCGCAGTGAGGACTGCAGGCTCTGGGCAGGGGACCCCGAGGGGAGCCCGAGGGGCCCCCTGCTGCCCGTTCCCGCTGTGCTCACTGATGCCTCCCTGTCGCCTCTTCAGCAGAGTGGGCACAGCTCTTCGGGCTCACCCCGGCGTCCTCGAGAAGGCCACTTCCCCGGAACCTCGGTTTCCTGGCCAGCGAGAGGCCAGTGAACCCCGAGCTGGAGGAGCAGGGGCCGTGGCGGGGGAGCCATGTGGGCAGCGCCCCGCACTGCGTCCCCGGGGCTGGCGGGCAGCTCCCCGCACTGCGTCCCGACAGCATCTACGACGCCAGAGTGTGTTGGGCGGCGCCGGTGCTGAGTCCGAGTGCGGGAGGGCGGTGGGTCCTGACCGGTCAGCGAGGGGCTTACTCTGGGCCCAGCGGCCCGGGGCCTTTCAGCACCAGAGCGGGCAGCTCCAGGCCCCAGGAGGGGGCCTCTGGGCCGCTGGGCCTCTGCTGAGGCCAGCACTGACCGCTCAGCGTGTGACGGGTGCAGGCCCAAGTGCCGTCTGGCCGTTCAGGGTCACGCGATACCCCGCAGGCCGGGTGGGCGCTGGAAGGGCGGCCTCGGGCGTCTCTGCCTGGACTCTGCTCATTCAGGGTGAGGGGCCCACAGGTGGCCGGGGCGTTTGGGTGGGCAGGGGTGGCGCTGGGGCCGGCCTCAGGGCGCTGCCAGCAAGGTGGTGAGAACCTCTGTACCGTCCGCCTGATGAGGGCAGCAGTGACCCCGCTGGGCGGTCCCTCCAGCTCCAGCTGCCCGTACTCAGCGTGGCCACGCTGAGACCCCTCAGAGACAGGCAGACTGAGGCCAGGCGGGAGGCCGCAGTCCTCTGGGTGTGTCGCCAGGAAGGAGAGAGGTGGACACCGGCGCCCACCCGCGGGACGGCAGGGAGGCGGGGAGACCCCGGAGGCCTGGACTGGGGGCCGGCACAGGCTGGCACACTTCTGCGCCTGGGCCAGGGCTCACCTGAGCCTCAGTCTGTGAGCGCCAGCGAGCGCAGGTCCCGCCGCTCCCCTAGGCGGCCCTGGTCTGAAGAGTCTCCTGGGTCCCTTGTCCCCTGTGCCTGGCTCGGTGTTGACACAGGGCAGCAGGGCCACTGACCTGGCCAGGGACAGCGCCCAAGTAGTTTACCGGTTACCCCGAGTCCTTCCCCCACGCCCGCAGTCAGCCGGAGGGCCACTCCGGCACGAAGAGCAACGATAACGGGCTTCTTTAACAGACCGGGGCACCCAGCGTCCCCTTGGCCACAAGGGGCCGTGTCCCTCACCCCCGTGTCCAGTGTTTCCAGCTCAGACACAGACTCCCTAGACGGCGTCTCGCTCCCCGGCGGGCCGGGAGCACGCAGTGGCCAGGCTGGACCAGGGGCTCCGACCCGGACGGCAGGAGACTCAGCAGCTGGCGCTCCCGGAGCTGCGAGAAGCCCCGGCGGCCCCAGACGGGAGCCGCCGGACAGCAGCTGCAGTGGCCGAGCCTCCGGCCATCGGCCGGGCCCAGCTCAGGAGGCCGCTCCGGGCCGCCCCCCAGCAGCGGAGCAGGGCAGCTGCACAGCTCCCGCCGCTCGGCCACCTGCAAAGCCTCACATTTCCCCTCTGAGGTCGGCTGCTGAGGCCTCTCCGCGTCCCTCAGAGGCCTGCAACAGCCTCCGGAAGCCAGGCGCGGACGGGCAGGCATGGCCGCGCCCAGAATGGCTGAAGACACCCGACACCCACATGCTGAAAGCTAAGTGCCCGCCCTGGCTGCCTCCCCGGTGCCTCACCAGTCGTCTCCTGTCTTCCCCCCAACTTTGTCCTTATTTCGCCTGGGGCAATTCACCCTCACCAGCGTCCCCCACGGGGGCGCCCCCTGCAACAGCCTTGGCTTCAGCCGGGTTTCGGCATGGGGGGCCACCTCGGCACCGGCTAGACGGCGTCCTCTGAGAGGCTCAGGAGGGGCTAGCTCGGGCTCCGTGGCACAGGCCACGCCCGGCCGGGGGCGGCTGGGGGCAGCTGGGGCCTCTGCATGGAGCTGCAGGTGCACGGAAGGCCGGCTCCGGCCTCTGGCGGTGCAAGGCGCCGCTGCCCGGCCCGCCCTGAAGCTGCGGCTCGCTGCCTGTGGCCATGACTGAGACAGAGGCTGACCGGCCGGACCCTGGAGGCGGAGCCCGAGGCCGCCCGACGGCCCCCACCGGCGGCCTGCTCTGCCACGCTCTTCCACGCCTGGGCTCCGAGCGCACTGTCCTCTGGGGCCACTTTCCACTGCTTGCTGCCATTGGCCTGGCCCCGGGAAGAAGTTCAGAAAGATCCTTCATGCGTGTCCACTTTCACATCAGTTTGAGAGCTGTGCTTTGACCTGTTTCGGGAAACCGAGGCTCTCCCCTCGCGCCCCAGGCAGGTGGGAGCCCGGCGTCCGTGAGTCACGGCCAGAGCGGCAGGTGCGGCCGCGTGGGGGCCGGCCGGGGCCAGGGCCCTGCAGGCCACGCGTGGGTCGCCGCTCTGACTTCGCTCCTCCTGCAAGCTCTGCCCACTGAGTTCTCGCCGCGGTGGGCACGGGAGCGCCGGCCTCACGAGGGGCGGGACTGAAGGGGTCGCTGCCGTGGGGTTCGGCACCGCGTGGCCCCTTCACAGCGGGGTGAGGCGGATGCAGACAGCGACGAGACGAGGTGAGACAGACAGAGGCCCGAGGGCTCAGGGCAGGGGGTGGACAAACCTGCCCGTCCTCCCCTGCTGGCCGGAGCCTGGCAAGCTAATCAGGTGGACAGCGGAGAGGACCGGCCGCGCGGGCTTTCTTATCTCCCAAAGAAGGCAGACAGGAAACTCCTTGGGAATTTTCTCGCAATGATTCATACTTACAAACGTTACGATAAACGAAACCCCAAGATCCCAAACCCGCTCCCACACAGCACGGGCTGCGTCTGGGCCTCGAGGCGCCGCCTGAACAGGCCTGGGGCCGGGGGCAGGGCTGGTGGGGCGCGGCAGGGGCTGGGCGAGGCCGGGGGCTGTGCCCGGCCCGCTGCTTGGTCTGCGCTGCTCGGTGCGGTCAGTCTCGGGACAGCCCACGCGGCGTCACTGCTCGGCTTTCTCTGAAGAGGGGGCGCGTTTGGTTTTAATGTTGGCGCTCCTCCCGTTCCGGCTTTAAGTGAGTCTGCTCGAGGCATGTTTCAGAGCGCAGCAAGCCCTCAAGGCCAAGCCCGGGACCGGCCCTCCGCAGGCCTCTGGCCTGAAGCGGGGGTACAGGCGGGGGGGCACAGGCGGGGGGCGTGCAGGCCATGGGGGGACAGGCGGGGGCGTGCAGGCCGCGGGGCACAGGCTGGGCACTCAGCCGCCCACGGGGCCCGCAGCAAGGTCGCCTGACTGCAGCCCGCGCAGGCCTCGTGGGGCAGAGGCCCCTGCC